ATAAAATTTTCACAGTTCTAATTTAAGAAAATAGATATATGTTACAGTTAACCAATGATCATACTTTTTAGTGGAAATGTGAATAAACATGAGCAATGAATAACACTTAAAGTTATTAATTAAAATATTTATTAGACGAAAAGAAATGAAAAAAATAGCTGTGGTGAATACGATATTACATAACCATCTATGGGAACAGTATTAAAACTAATGAGGAAATAAGAGAGAGCAGAAATCCAGCTTGGAAGACCATAAATCTTTAATTTAAATAGAAAACGAATTAGATACTTATACAATATTACAAAAACGTAGATAAATGATTTCATATTGATTCGTTACCTATATCGTTTGGGATTTGTTACCACCCACTACCTCAATGTGTTATTCGAGATAATATAGAAGTAGGCTATAAAAAAATTAGAAGTCGTTAGACCAAGCCATAGCAACAGTCTATCAAATGATAGAGTAAGACTGAGCCACGTAAGGGCTGGTCAAGGTTTGCATAATAACTGTAACTAGTGATATGTGGTGTTGAAAAGTGTTAGCGGGATATAAATTGGATGGAAGCATGTTGCGTGCAGGATTATTTTGACGCACGCTGATCGACTTCTCATCCAATCAGCGCCAGTAGATACTTGGAGAACACTCTAGGATCTCATGTAAGCGTTTTCCTTATTGTAATTCCTACTTCCATCTAGCCTTATTACTTGGAGCATAACTACGTTCCTGTTCAACCGTGTTCTGATATGGGGACTTGTCGAGTGAAGTTATGTCCAAGAATGTTAAGCAATAAGAGTAACTGGATCGTAATAAGAGAAATTATGATAAAGCTAACTACCAATATTCATACATACTTTCTAAACTGTATTCTTAAACACCCAATCTTTTCTATAATCATTGTTGATACTATTATTTCAACTACTTTGTTACTGATCTCGTTGTTCGGTTGCATGGCGCTCTGAGCTGACGCACGTTTGTGCCGGGCATTACATTGATTACGACTAACTGTTTAGTAATCAATTTATTTACAGTTCTGTGCAAAATTAACGAACAATAGTAGGCATAAAATGACAAAGATAATTTATTTCACAACTGTCAGGATAAATGTTTTCTACCTAAACGGCAGATTGTCAAACAGAGCAGCTTGTCTTAAAATGTGATACGAAATGGAAAAAACGCATATATTTTTCATTAGACTTCATAGAAAGTTTTTACTCTATTAAAAAGTATTAGTGTTATCTTTTAGCATACTTTATACAAATCTGTTTAGAATTAATTCAAGTAATGATCTCACTATGGGTAACAATAGAGAATAGAATATTTACCAGAGGAAGTTTTATATTTCATGTGTCTTTACTTAAGTAGATGTAAGTACCATAAAAATCTATACAAGACACTATTTGCTAGGTTAATGACTGAACAGAAAAAAACGAAGACCATGCTTGCGGACAAGCAGTCCCCAAGTTTAGTTGCGCAGTCAGTAAGTACTATCGAATCACATCAATTCTACATCCAAACATTAATCACCAAAGATGTGATTAGAAATGAGGACTTGGATTACCGTATTCATTTGAACCGAATTGGATAAATGAAATAGCTGTGTACTTAAAACTAATCCCGAAAATCTTGAAAGTCGCAAGATTTTGCAATGTTAAAACTGATGTTTTCCTTGATATTGCACATTTAAATCTTAGTTTAATTGACAGTCAGCTTTTGAATAATTTTCTGTGTGAGAGTTCCTGTTACAAGATTATGAGTCGAATCTTTATAAAATTATTTGGCCAATATAACGAACAAGAAAATCATTCTAGCACTAACTTTGTGTTAGTCCTCATAGATAGCCATATTTGTACACCCTTCTAGGTAGACATGATCGGACAAAATTAAGCTTTGTAGACAAGTCTTAATTCCTTTAGAAAATGACTACCCATTGTTAAACGATATTTAGTTGTTTGTTCTTTTATTACTTATTTTATCTTACGACTGAAGAATCATATTTCAGTGCCGATTAGTCTTGTCTAATTACGTCAGTCCATTATAGGACCTGGATCAGCGGCTCCGTTTACCGAGCACTTTTCATTCAACAATTCTGTATCATTAGGTTTCACCTATCAAATAATCAGAGTTGGATAATGGCGCATGTTCCATCCTATTTGCGACTCGTCAGTTGGATGTATCTGCATCCCGGAGTTGGCGTTTACTTTGGAACCTGAACTTAGTACACCTTGCATCAAATGCCACCACACTACCCACTTAGCTACTGAGTCCAAACAGACACTAACTTGTGCAATAGAAAGAATTTTAATCCGTCTTTACAGCCCGAAAATGTTCATAATTTGATAAACCCTCATTTATACAGGAAATGTTTTGGAGGGTTCAACTTAAAACAATTATGTATCACACATGGATATTAGACCTTGAGAGGGCACAGAAAAAACTGGAATAATATTTATGAAGAGAAACCAGTACTCTATTTTCCAAAATCTAGGTATGTGCCGTCGATTCGACCCAAATGAATTTTGTCGATTAAACTTTCATTTCTAAAATCTCATATCGAACTCTCTAATGAATGAACAAACCAGGGAAAATATTTAATATCAAATAAACTAGTTACAATGTAATTGTAGGCAATAAGCAGCCTACCGTGTCGATAATGGTTTTAACATCAGAAACCCAGAACCGAAGATTGCTCGATACCAGGTAGTGCTTAGTTGCCACAAAGCCCAACAAACAAAACTAGTATTATAAATTGTCCACGTAACGACTGCCAACGAAGTTGACTGGATAGAAAACACAATAGATACTGAGTGCGTCAGTGTGAGGTAACAGTCGGTAGCTATTTAGTTTTACCAAATAAACTGACCTAAAATTAGAAAGTCAGCGACATAACTACTGACAAAGACACGCCGTTGATAATTCATAAGAACAGACACTTCAGAATTTCGGTAGAATAAACTTATGAACAGTTCAACTGTATTAACGTTATTTTTTACTAAAATCCCATCACCCTATCAACCGATAAGCGAAAACTGGATCTATAGACCCCTGAATGAGAACTCAACACTGCAATGAATTTAATACAAAAATCGCTTTTAAATTGGTTCACGTAATTAGGAAGGATAAAAAGATAAATGTTAATCCAATTTCTAATAGACATGTAATTAATTTAGTTGCATCAACAATCTCATTACCAACTCATTAGTTAGATGTTAAAAGTAAAAAAAAAAACACAAAACTAATGTTGAAACAGTTCCAGTAAAACAAACAAGTCGAACTACATAATAAGTTAACTACAACGAGAAAGTTGAAAAATATTATCCACTAGAAACTCAATCACATTGATTCCATATTGCGACCGTTGAATGTGATTTTCCTGAGTTTAATATAATACTGAAGATGGCATAAAAGTGTGCACTATAGACGAATCCACAGGAAAAATCAAGAGCAGTCAACCAGAACCATCGAATATTTGCTCCAGTTTAAATCATATTAAAATTTAACAGAACACATTGAAACCATATAAGTAATAATTCATTTTTAGCTAAATACCTGCAGTCTATTGGGGGAGATTTTAATTCTGTTAACCTGTTATAATAGTAACTTAAATCGTTACTAAAATTGTTCATCTGTAGGCCCTGTGTTCAAACCCCAAACCACGTGTATAAAAAGAAAGAACAATAGAGAAAAAAATTAATGAGCAGAAACTGACAAAATTTCAATATAAGAACCATTATCATTATTCATTACACAAAAAAAAAGACTATACAAAGAACGCAATAAGGAGAACTTTCAAGCATTAGAATATAAATTATTCAACAATGATGATAATAATCCATTTAACACATTTCATTGTTTTATTTTCGACATCGAACAAAAAGCAAAATTAATAAAACAGCAGAAGTAGAGGTACAAAAAACAAAAAAAGAAAATGGAGAATCAATGGAGAACGAAGGCATACAATTACAGTAACTTTATCATAACTAGGCGTGTTGAAATTTCAGCGATGTTAAACGGCTCTCCAATACAGGTCTTTTTATGTGTACATATAGATGTATTCATGATCAGGTAGTGAAGATAAGAAAGAATATAACTCAAGTGAAAATTACGTAAAAACTAAATCAGAAAGAAAAATCAAGACAATTAATTTTGTTTTTGTTTCTCAAAATAAAATGAACAAAGACTATGAATGAATTGCATAGAATGTGAAAACCCACTAAAACTGAAGAACTAACACACGCACACAAGTTTAATTTTCTAGCAGACTTACAACTAGATAAAAATTATGACATTCAATGATAATATCTTTACAAAGGATGACAATTTTCTGGTTATGAACACCTGATTTCTATTATAAACCTCAAAGTTTTATAACTACTAGTGATGCTGTTGAGTAATAATGCTAATTGGATTGGTATGAACACTGTGAACAACAGTCACAAGCCTCAGAGTTACTACCAAAGATTAAATTTAGAGGAATTATGGACGAAGGTCGTGGCAAAATGTAGAGTATGATAATGCTTTGATTTATGGAAGTAAAATCTATTAATATCCCAAAATTAATTAGCAGAAGTGAAAAAACTGAGTAGAAAATATGTGTCAACACAAGTTGATGTGTTAGAAGTAATTACATGCAATAAACATGTAGTAGGTTTTCGATATATATAGCATGACAGCACCGGTGAGAGACAATACTGAAGTGTTTCTGAGTTAAATAGGGAAACATGAAGTGTGGGTGTGTATGCATGATAACAGAGAAGCGATTATACTCAACTCCTAATGTATCAAATAATCAGATGAAAACCACTCAATCTGAAAGATAACGTTATATACGCTTGACAACGATTTCATTTTTATCTAACAACAATTCCATTCTAAATAAACAATAAATTAAATTAATCGTAAGCAGAGCAATTACATTGGTGTTGAGTAGTAAAAACAGAACAAGAAAAATCAGAATTATTGCAGAAAACAAACTTTTTCTCGAAACAAAAGTAGAAAGTTTAAGAATAACGACCATGTGAAGCAGTAATAGACTGATGATAGGTTGGGGTGTTCCCACTACTACCACAAACTGGAAGAAAACACGTCGATGATACTGACGATACAGTGTTAATACTTTTAGTTGGAGTAGTGGACGTAATATTACTAAAACTATTACTATTATTATTACTTTCGTAAGGGATCACTGATTTAACACCAGGATGAACAAAAGGTTGCGTAAGATAATGTTTCTCATGTTCGTTTTTAAATATTGGATGACTACCATAATGCTCGATGAGATCATCAATACAATTGAATACTTTCTGACCAATATGATATTGTCCTTTCTCAACGTGTACTTTGAAATTTCTCGTTTTATTGCCTGCATTGATGGTTATAGTCAAATCCCCAGGCTATTGTATAAGTCAGTATAAATAAATAAGAAAAATAAGTTAAGCTTTATCATATGTTTATTTTATGTATGCAGGTGAAGTAATGAAATCAATTTATTAAGTCGAATAAAAAACAGTATAACATGAAATTCTACCATAACAGTTTACATGCTGTGAAGTTGATCAATCTATATTCTGTCATGTTATACACATACAAAACTCACTTACCAAGTTGAAAGGTTTAGAAATCCAGTGTTTAGCTGCACTACTAAATATGTGAATAATTAATTATACTACTCGTCTACCTAAACCAAGGTTGATGAAAAGGGGTTCGGATGTTTCACTCACTGATTGAAACCAATAACTTCTATCAGCAAGTTACTGTACATCCTCAAGAGGGGTACTGAATGATTCATACATGAAAGAGAGGTGTGATAGCATAGACAAAGTATATTGTACTTAAGCATTTGCCAGTATACACATATAGCGTACCCTACAGCATCTAAGTGTAAAGTACTACTACAAGACTAGCAAAAGATAATGCAGACAACTACTTTTTGTGGTAAGCCGCTGGAAATAGTCAAAAACTTCGTGTGATTAGATAGTTGTGTTAGTGACTGTGGTAATACGGTAGAAAACACTTTTCTTTGTATAGACTAAACTACAGAAGTTTGCATGAATCAGAATTAGCTTTGACTTCAAAGTGACGTTACATCGGCCATTAAAGATCAGAAGCACAATGTTGCGATACAATATTACTGCTTCACAGAGATGAAACCCGCCACTTCTAAACTAAGAACCTTTCACGGATATGGATTGGTTTTGTGACAGGACTGTGTTCAAAGAATCTCTTGCAGTCGGTAACAACACCAATTTAGTAACGTTGAAGTCCAATAATCCATGTACACAAACAAACTTTTATTGTAGACTTGTGTTCAAACAAAATTATACAGATATATTACCAAATCTGATAACATAAAAACCATAACCTTCATAAATTTTGCATCATATAACTGTTCATTTTAAATTTAATCGGCAGATATGATCGACAATCAAAAGACCAAGTATCTATCTATACATCAATAGTATGAAATAATAAAATTCCTGATTATTTATCGTTCTTTTCCAAAAGTTAAAACATAATAATCAATACACAGTATTTTTTCCGAGAAATAGATTACTCGTCGGTTGTCTAGTGACAGAGCACATAAGCATCCATACAAATAAATAGAATGAATATATATATATATATATATATATATATATATATATATATATATATATATATATATATATATTCATACTTCCTCTCAATAAATATTGATCTACATTAGATGGTCTGTCTGAAATATGAAGAAGAGAATTACATTTATTTTCTTTTTGGCATAAATCACATCTTGGAATTCAACAACATAATAGCAGCCTCTTTATTGTTATTACTATTATACCAGTTCCAATAGCAATAACGGTAATAATAATAATGATAGTGGCAACACAGTTTGCTTGATGGCTATACCCCACTCGCAAAATAAGTTGTGAACTGTAATTTTTCCCATATATCTATCGTTGTTATACTATTTACCCAACTGTACATATTTTTTGTGTATCAGTAACTAATAATTAGATTGGATTTGTAAAGCATTGACCAGTGGATTAGAAGGTAAAATGTAATTGCCCAATATGATGGAGGAAAAAAATTATTTCAACAATAATAGTAGGCATAAATTAAGTTACAGACAATGGTAGATCGAATATTCTAGGTTTTGAGGTGATTTTCATACCATAAAATGAAATTGACTGGAAAATTGTTAAAATTTGTGAAGTACTAGGTCACATCTTTGGTTTATTTTGGGATTCCTCAACAATGCTCACAGTAACTATCTTAGACGAAATTTAAAATATGAATTTTAGTTCTCACAATAAGCATTACAACTTTCAATTAATAAATTTAAGATACTACAGTAAAAATCTCCAAATCTCAGAAAAACAAGAACAAACTTGTTTAGTTTAAGCTGTTTCGCAATGGCCTCTGAAAAACTACTCAGTAAAATCGAGGTTCTTTGTTCATTGATTATCGTGAAGGATTTTGAAACATCAACATCACATACACTGTTTCAGCAGTAGTGCAATTGTTCATCATTTGCTTAACAGTAGACGTCACATAATAGAACATATTTGCGTTACAACTAATTCACGTTACTCATGAAAACTTACATGTGATTCACTATCGCGAACGATGAATTCACCAGGTAAAGAATGTTTACCTAACATCTCTTCACATTCAGCGCGTGAAATAATACCCCAGAACCATGGTCGATTTATATGTAAGCAACCTGTACTAGACTGTGTAGCATAACTTAGCCTCAATGTTTCTCCATCAGTAGGCTGTGACTTATTTGTTACTGTATAACTTGAATTAGTCGCAGACACCTGGTTACTTCGAATAGAATGGCCAAAATTTGTAGACTGACAAGATAATGGCTTGTGATTTGAACCGAATGATTTGCTTAGTGTTGTAGTTGCCATTGCTGGTGTTGTGAAAGCAGTAACATAATTATGTGGTACCAGACCACTTTCACCACGAGTATTACGACAATGCCACCAAGCTGGATCATCAGGAGGTTTGTTAAGTACTTCCAAGACCTCGTTTTCACCAAAAGACAGCTCTGCTACATGACTACGTACAAATGGGTAAAGAGTTACAACAGTTTCATGTTGCTGTTGCTGACCTTCATGACTAGGTGGGTCGTTATTACGTACTAGTAATTGCGGTTGTTGATGTACTTGTTGTTGGTTTTCTGTAATAGAACCAGGATTCAGAGAATGTTGTTGTTCATAATATTGATAAGCTAAGTATTGAGTAGGAATTTGATCTTGAGTATTTGAAATGTTTGGTACAGACAAATCATTTGCATCCCGATTAAGTGTACTTGAATTTAATATACTGGGTTGTGAACTACTTCCAGATCTGTAACGTTACGTGGAAAAACAATATAAATAAATATTTAATGATTTGGTGGACATATTATACGCATTGATCATGATGTGAAAAGCTTGTTGGCAATATCACTAGTTCGACCTAGATTTTCAAAATGAATTTTGTACTCCAAGACTGTTGAAGCGTTGAAATCAAAACCCAAAGCCTTTTATCAATTCATACTGACAATTCGCGTTTGATTAAACCACTGGTGGTGAAATTGACAGTTTATTCAAATTTAAAGCCTCAATAGATAGAAAGATTTTGATATGCCTTTGATTACATGCACAATAGTTAAGACCTAACAGCCAGCTGAATGTTACAGTTTAGACGGTATGACATCTTAAAAGCAGTTGAAAAAGCTAGAACTCAATATTTCCTTCATTTTTAGTCCCTGCTTGTTTGAACTAGAAGTGTTTTTAACAAGTGCTTCGAGTTGTAAAAAACTTATGACAATAAAGAACTGTGGGGAAGTAGAAATGTACTGTAAATAAAAACAATGTGAATTAGTATTTTGTAAATCGTCTACAATTTAGTATACGATGTATAGACATGCAACAAGAGTTCCGTTCGTTTAAACACAGACAACTGTCTTTAGTAATTTATTGGAACCGAAACAATGCGCTTCCTTAAATTGTCACAAGTATGAATCAAGCAAACAATACTTAGTATGAAGCAAAAAAGAGTAACATTTTTGTTAAATGGTTATGGAGCATAATTTAAAATACTGAGAATACTGACTAAAGATTTGGTGGTGTTATTATCAAATCGACGACAATAATAAGAAGGAAGAAGCTAATAATGATAGCTATCTTGTGTTTAAATATCCTTCCAATAGTTTAAGTGTCCTGAAAATAAAATAACTTACGAACATTTCTAACAATCTTAAATACTTCGATTTACTAACATTAAATGTTTGCAAATGCCTATTTTAGACCATTTTACTAACTAAGTTTTCATCTTAAATTTAAACGACAACGACTTAACCAATAGGATGTTTAGTTTCTAACTTAAGCTATATACAAGTAAAACCAAGCAAAATGAATGTTTCTATGTTTTATTTAACGTTAGTTATATGTGTAACTCCGCCTGCAGCCTTTCTAGAGCCACTGCCGCTCCCAATTCAGGATAAAAGAGGAGGATTTGGCATAGAGTCAAATACCTCATCCCTTAGAAACAAACATTCCTAAAACACGCTATCCAGGATAAACAATCTAAACCATTCAAACTCTGAACTCCGAATTGAAGGATCTTCATTTGGAAGTTATGGCGCCTGATGATGAAAGCCGAGATTCTGCGGATGTCACGAGGCTGGTGTCTCTTCTAACAAAATAACAGTTAATATAGGTAGACCGAATGTCCAGACAGTGTGGCAGATTGGGAGGACCAACCAGATAGTTGCAGAAATGGGGAGATGCAACTTAATGATGCTCGGAATAAGTGAAATCCGTTGGACAGAAAATATCAGATTTGGGAGAGCTGCATCCTCCAAAACAATGGAGGGGATTACAGTGAAGGTTATCCAGTGCTACGCACCAACCAATGATAGCAATGAAGATGATAAGGATTAGTTTCAAGAGAGGCTGTAGTCGATCGTAGAGGTGCTCATGAAAAAGACCTGACCATTCTGATGGGAGATTGAAACGCTCAAGTCGGAATGGGCAACACCAGATATAATGATATAATAGGACGACATGGACTGGGAGAAAGAAACGAGAATGGAGAAAGATTTGCAAATTTATGCGCATTCAACAAAATGGTTATAGGTGGCACTATATTTCCCTACAGGTCCATACAAAAAGCTATATGAGTCTCACTGGATTACACTACACAGAACCAGATCGATCACATTTGTATCCACTAAAATTCAGAAGGTCAATGGAAGACGTGAGAACAAAGACAGGAACTAACATAGCTTCAGATCACCAACTGGTGGTTGCCAAGATGAAGGTAAAGCTAAACAACTACTGGACAACTGGAGAAACAGCATTACGAACGTTTGACACAGCCTTCCTTCGACATCCTGACCAACTCAATGAATTTAAGATAGCTTTCAACAGCAGGATCTACTCAAAAGAGGAAACTTATATGGAAGACAACTGGAAAGGGATCAAACAAGCACTAACTTCAACGTGTTGTTGCTACCTTGACGTGGTGGTCGGGCTTGCCTATCGTGATGAAGCAACCGAGCTATACTGGCTGGAACAACCGTTCCTCAAGGTCCTACCATGTCAGACAGGTCGGTTGAAGAGCGGTAAGACTAAAAGCAACAAACCCAAGGTCCGAAAGCGAAGTCGTACTGCTGACTGTACAGAGGTGTGACAGCAGTAAGGTGTTTCCTTCAGACAACCAGCATGACGGCGATGCTACCTTCCCACAAGGAGGGGTGGGGTTAGAAAGGGTCGACCCTAAAAATGCACACCTCGCCTTATCCACGGATATCTGTCTCCGGCGGTAAGGTCCCAAACAGTACGGAGCTAACACACAAATTACCCATAAAAAGGTCGTGTGTGACCGACCACAAGCAGTTGTCCCTTGGTTACTGCGGTCACGCTCCCAGGTCACTAAGACCACCTCTAATCCAATTTCCTTTTCAGGTACCTCCGGAACAACCCTTCCACGGTGTGGGCAACCGGGAAGTGATAACCGCCCTAATACCTCTAACAGCACTCAAGACCACTGTATTCCGACTGAACTTCAACGTGTCAAGATATTCTGGACCACAAGAGAAATCATCATAAGAAATGAATCTCTATCGAAACCCTGGTCAGCATTCAAGAAAGAAAGATCAAGAAAACAGCAATTAGTAACAGCCGAACAAGAGTAGAAAAAGCTAAGACACAGACCGAATACACAGACTCAAACAAGAGAGTGGAGAGTAGCATTAGATCTGATAAGCGGAAACATAGGAGATCTAGCAATCGCAGCAGAAAAAGCTGCAAGAGGAGGAAATATGAAACAATTACATGATACAACGAAGAAATTGGCAGGGAAATATAGTAAACCGGAGCGACCAATCAAGAGCAAAGAAGGTAAGCCAATCACTGAAATTCAGGAACAGTGGAACAGATGAGTAGAGTATTTTGAAGAACTCTTGAATAGACCAGCTCCACTGAATCCACAAGACATCGAAGCAACACACACCGACCTTCTTATAGATGTCACACCACCTACAATCAAAGAAATCAGGATGGCCATCAGACAAATCAACAATAGGAAAGCAGCAGCAGCTGACGACATATCAGCTGAAGCACTGAAGTCACACATAGAAGCAAGTGCAAACATGCTCCACGTCCTATTCAGGAAGATTTGGGAGGAAGAACAAGTGCCACCGACACACTGGAAAGAACGAAACCTCATCAAGCTACCAAAGAAATGAGATCTGAGCAAATGTGAGAACTAGAGGCATCACACTACTATCGATACAGGAAAAGTTTTCAACAGTATTGCTGAACAGCATGGAAGATTAAGTAGACGTCCAGCTTCAGGATCAATAGGCTGGATCGGTCGTGAACAGACCAAATCGCGACACTACGGGTCACCGTTGAACAATCAATTGAATGGAATTCGTCACTGTACATCAAATTTCTCTACTACGAGAAAGCGTTTGACAGTGTAGATAGGAGAACCCCATGGAACCTTCTTCGACACTATGGTGTACCTGAGGAAATCGTCAATATCGTCCGGGATTCATACAATGGACTACACTGCAAAGTGGTGAGTGGGAGACAGCTGACAGATGCATTCCAAGTGGGGATTGGTGTCAGACAAGGCCACTTACTTTCGCCCTTTCTCTTTATTCTGGTAGTTGACCGGATTATGAAGACCTCTAAATCTGGGGCGAAGCATGGAATACAATAGACAGTTTCGATGTAGCTAGACGATTCGGACTTCGTACATGACTTGGCTCTTCTATTCCATACACACCAACCAACAAAAATGGTGCAAATATTTATAAACAATTGTGTACGCAAGATACTTAATGTCCGTTGGCCGGATACCATTAGCAAAAACCTACTGTGGAAGAGAACAAACCAACTTCCAGCTGAAGAGGGAATTAGGAAAAGACGTTGGAGGTGGATAGGAGATACATTGTGGAAATCATCAGATTGCATCGCGAGGCAAGCGCCAACTTGGGATCCTGAAGGCAAGGGGGAAGAGGAAGACTACGGAACACATTGCGTCAAGAATCGGAGGCAGATATCAAAAGAATGAATAGAAACTGGAAAGGATCGCCCAAGGCAGAGTTGGTTGGAGAATGCTGGTGGGCGGAGTATGCTCCTCCACGAAGAGTAACAGGTGTAAATAAATAAGTATATGTGGAGGTTACAACGTAATCAAACACGCTTAATGTTGTTGTACTGAGATTTGCCTGGCCACTATTAATTTATATGTGCTGTTGTGAATCTTAATATATATAATAGTAAACAAATCCGACCATTATATTTCCTATCATTTAACTAAATATCGACAACGATCAGGGTCCTAAAGGATCATTTTCCATTTTATCGATGTGAAATTTATGTTATATACTCAGAGTTTTTGTTCGAAATTTCCAAATCAAATCTTGTTGGTAAATTTGCTTACCAAGGCTGTATTGCTTGTACACCTTAAAACAATTAGCATGGGTTATGAAGAAGTTAAACTTAAACATATTTAACTTTAAAAACATGGGTAATGTGATTTCTATGAATTCAGATTCGAACTTTTGGGTATATTTTTAAAGTCCCAAAATCACGAAACAAAATAATCAAACATTAGGAAAAGTTAATAATTTACGAAATACTAATACCTATTTATTTTGAATAATCGTTTACTTTTATTTGTATTATTCGTTCCATCTATGTAAAAAACACTGCTGTGACAGTATTGTAAAAAAGAAAACAAGTTGATGTAACATTGACATCCACCTATTCAAACACGTTGTCAATATTGAGTCCAACTATTTGAACTGTCTAATTGTATAAAACCATGTTTATCAGATTGTTTGAGTCCTAGAGCTTATATATAGTAACAAATAAATTCTATCCAGTGACCATAAAATGGAAACTTAGCTACCATTATGCTCTAAAAACTATATCAGTTGAACTGCTAAATTAAATATAACATCTAATAAACAAATAAAACTTTAATTATATTTAATATATTTACAGGTTCAAATGATTTAGAAGCTAAAACTTTTTACTTCAAAACCTATCTACTACTCTTAATCTTCCGTGAAGTCATCAACAATTTTTTTTCAACTTTTCAGCTATTTCCATCCTTGATCTATCCCTCTCTGCTTATTTACTATACTTTTTAACATTATTTTGTTATCAATTTATTTTCCATATATTCCTAAATTCATGTGGGTTTTTTTTACTTCAAATGTTAATCTTTTAGAGCTAATTTTTCTGCATAAACTAATCGATCACATTCTCCAACTTCTTATTTATTTACCTTTGGATAGGTTATTTTATGCAGTCCCATAGCTTCTAGTTTCCGCCCCCGTTCTCGACATTAGAGTAATTACCATTAACAGAACATGGTTTAGTTTTCCGAAACTAAAAGAGTCTATATGTAACATAAACACATTCAAATCTAGGTGATTGATTAAAAAAGTAAATAACAGGAGAAGCTTGAAAAGTCGTGGTCCAAAAAGAAAAAGCACAATTAAGTAGTAATGTAAATTAGAACGTTTTATTACAACTTCCACTGTAAACAGTCTTCAAATACACTAATAATCATCATTTTGAAACTCACCAAGTACAAGTTTGTATTCTTTACTACTACACATTTTTTGTGTGGGTTAAATGATACTATCCGAATACACACACTAAGTGACATAAGTGAACATCCCACTTAAAGTCCCTTAGTTGTTAATCAACATGAAATAAAATGGTCTGCCACTTTAAAATAAATATTTAAAAGCACACCTTCACAATTTAAACGGTGTATAACAGATCGAACGAACACGTTAATTATTAATTTACGCTCGAGTTATGTCAGTTATATTTTAAGTAGAGAGCGATTTCTATTTGACAGCATTCCATGGTAATTAAGTTATGTCACAGACCAAATAGGTACGAAACACCTGTCCAATGACTCATTAACATAATTATGACCCTACGGCTGATATTGTTAGTCGATGACTAGAAAATATCTCATAACTCTACGAATGAATAAAATAGAACCAAAAACTACTGACCTATTCAGATTTTTTGATAAATCCAATGTGACATAATTTGATGGAAACCATCCCATTCGCTGTGGTTTACCTTCGGTAATTAGAATACCACGCCACCAACCATCTGAACTTTTTTCCAAAACACGAATTTTATCGCCTCTTTCAATTGACAATTCATCTGGTTGACAAGCAGGGTAATTGAAACGTGCTTGACATATTTGACGACCTAAACCAGTTCCAGTGCCAAAATAGGACGTATTATTTAAATTTCCTGTCATAATATTAGTAGTTTGCTGGAACAGTGATAAGGAAACATTTACAGCGCCATGTCCATTTTGAAAATTTGGTATGGAATGCTGATTAAAAGTAGTTTGAATAGTAAGAAACAGAATTTTAACAAGTTTAATGAAGTTAATAAACTTGAAACAACTTATCGATCTGTCGAACTTTTAACCAGACGTCTAACCCAGTATGACTTGTTTGTGATAATCATTTTAAACTCATGATAAATTGTTAAATAAAGATGATTTACTGAGCACTACTTTTATCGTACAACTCGATTGCGATTGTAGTACGAAAGAAAAAATGGTTAACTTTGTTAACGTCTTAATGAGTCTTTTGAAAATTTTTGGACAGAACACCTTGTTTCATGAAAACGAAAAATAAATTTGATAATGCTAACACATTTATGTCCCAAAATATACCATATTTCCTAAGAAAGATTATAACACATTTGATTGATGTCTCTAAAGAGACCTACATTTATCTAGGCACCAGTTATTAGATTATGTCCATGAGTGTTTATCAAATTAGTAATAGATCTATACACAATACAGGTTACCAGTCTTTTTATGGCTTCCACTGACCGAATACATTCAAACTTTGATCAGATAGAGCACATGGTGTTTTGATCCAAAACGTTCTGCTCAATATTAATGGACCGGCATTTTTAGTTGCTCGATGATTTTCTATTTTGTCACAAATACCTCTGAAGTATCTGCTGGTATTCTGTGGCAACACTTTGATGAGGTTAAATGAAATAAGATTTCAGCATAAAGGACTTGCATAACCAGTTTCTAAATTTGTTTTGAGGTGTCGATTTAGATAATATGAACTTTGAGGAACACAACTGCTCTATCTTACATACCAGCCGTTTTTTTAATATCATTTTGAGATGAAAATTTCTAAGCTCTTAACACTATTATTACTTGACTTCACACGTCATTGTGCTTCCACGATACCATGATTTCGTGTTTGTATGAATTATTTAGTTGAGTGAGGTTATTCATACAACTCGACTAATATAAGAATTACCTGGGGGTAAGCTTGTCTTGCATCAGATTTCGACAGCCAGTTAACTGATTCACTATCAACCGTTTTATTTGCATCTTGAAATCTTTTCGCGTGTTGAACGGATATCTGATTATTTAAGGGGATAGAAAAGCTGTCAGAGATTCCTTCCTGAAGTCTCATATCCGCAAATGCTTGACTTGGAGGAATTAAAATGCTTGTAGACGCAGATGTGCTGACAACTTTAGCTCCAAGGGACTCTGCACTTTCGTGTCGTAAATCAAAAGCTGAAAAGCCATTACTCCCATCCGGGGTAGGTGAAGAAGGATTGGACTGTCTAGTGCTTGTACCTTCCTGACGATTTTTCCGGCGCCCAGAGTATTTCGCAAACTTGAAAATATACCCTAAGAACGTAACGCTATCTATAAATAGTAACAAGTACTTACTTGTTTTGAACGCTTGACATAATTGCTAGGGACATAGCCAGTCTTTCCAAAGGAATTCATCACCTTCCACCAATGTTGGCTATCATCGATAAGTGTTAATTTTTCACCTTTTTGAATTCCAAGCTCATGACTATCTGATGCCTCATAATCAAATTTCACTATCACAAAATCCGTATTTTTATGAGACATTACCTTGCAGAAAATGTATAGAACATTAGCGATTATAATAATAGTAATAAACAAAGTAATTAAATGAATGAGCAGAAAACTTGGAGAATATTTATGACGATTATACCAAACATTAATCTCGGAAATTACACTCTGAGTTAGGTAGTATTTGGTTCCCTTAACTCTAATAGATGGAAGGGGCCATGGATTTATAAATGTATGGTTAGTATGTGACTAAACTAAAAACTCTCCTTAGAACGGAAGTAGACAATTTATAAAAATTACTGTTTAAGCTACCAATATAGTGCGGCACATAAACTGAGACCACCAAAAATCATGTAAATTATAAATTATGTACAGGTTACTGTACACGGTAATAATTATGATTTATTCTGAGTATCAGTGATGCTAGTTATCCAACGCTTGGAAGATAAGGAAACGATTGAATCCGCCAATTAAAAGTAACCTAGCTAAACCAACGATCCACAAATCAAATAAATATGTATTGAGCAGAGATGTTACTGTCAACTAGGTACATATAATGACCGTAAACATAAGATAGGAGTCGGTTGAATACAATACTCAGGTAGAGAAAATAGTTAAAACGGTCTGTTGGGTTGGGTTCACCATATTTATATTTCCTTATCGCTCTTCTTAACACTTCTAGCTTTTTGAGGTGTTTGAGATCTTCCTGGATGATCTCAGAATGCCAAAACTGACAAAACCCACTTAACTCCGATAACATGGAATGGATAAAACAACTAGCTGTGTAATCTATCGTAACATCTGACCTTCAGTCATTCGTAAACAACGTAGAACCCGGTACATATGTGCATCAGCTCAGGTTACTACGCAGCATAGCAGTAGTAACAGTATCAGAAGTAAGAAAAATAGACAGAATATATGATTATCGAAGGAAATACGAATTCATGGAACATAAGTATAAAACAACTTCAAAATTCAGGATCTAAGGAAGACAGAGTGAATGCGACACGATGAATAGTTTCGATTCATGTAATCGAACATCTTTAACCACTGGTTAAAGGACTCCAACCAGGTAGTCTGTACCAACCAATGAGACTAAGTCCAACAGTCAATGGTGTCATGAACCTACGTCCCATCTTGGTCTAGCAGGGCCTAATTTTCCTCTGATTTACTCCTATCATAGCCAACATTGCACCTCAAGGTAGGCAATGGTTGAAGAACAAATATCTCTGCCACCCGAGTTCACGAAGATCCCCTACAATGTAGTCAGAACCTGAGCGGTTACTACTAAGGAAGAGATAAACATGTACACACATACTTCCCAAAGACTGAGTAAGGTAAGTCTTATTTGAGTCTTGGGATGAAATCACACAACGCATTAGCCATAGCTATCGGAAATTTACTATAGTCAACAATAGATTGTGGTTTGTACAAGCTGTAAATGAAACTCATTACCGAACATATAAGGTCTCCACTGTCTGTCTAAACGGTAATTTACCAAGGCTACACATCAAAATTTATCGGATGCAATCAGGCTGCAATGTGAAGCAAATATTGAGATGAAGATGAGTTTCTGTTCCTGATCTCAATTAAATTTAAGTCTAATTAAGCCCGTTTCGGACAACTACAAATGGGGACCCAGTCCACTAGTGTTACTTTAGTACTAGAACTTATAGCAACACTGGAACTAAAACGGCTGGCATCAATGTTACACACCCTTAGAAATTTATCCACGAAGCAGGATTTTTCCAATAGAAATTGAGAAACATTGTAATAATTCATTAGGATATAAAATCGAAGTAGTTAAGAACTATGAAATTTCAACGGCGAGAGTTTTCATGGCCCCAAACAGATCAGCCTAATGTCCAGTCAACTTTGAGCATTTCAAGCTTAAGTCTTTCACGTCATATATATATATATATATATATATATATATATATATAACGATATGCACAAGAAATCTAATTAACTATTCATATAACCTGACCAGTGTTGAGTTCTGGTAGGTAAAAATTCATGCCACACGTCAACCAGTGTTTATGATGCAGTAAAAGATGAATTACGAAAGAGCTAACCAAACAGTATATATTTAGACCTATTTACCAGCTATCAGGGTATGAGCCATACTGTGTGAGGGCTAGTGACACTATCTGGCCACCAAGAATGAAGTGGGAGGAGCGGGTTTAGGACGTGGGACAGGTCGGACCCGCTGACTACTAAGTAAACAGTTTGTTATTTTTGCACTTAAACGACTGTATCATGAGTCAAAAGCCCGGACAGATACCTTAAAAAATGTAACACTTCCATTCCATGTTTAGAGACCCGTGGTCATACACTTATCAGTTTTCTTTTTGAAATAATCATATCGTTAACTTATAGATAATAACAGCTCTTTTAATTATTATACATCTTTCGCCAATCTCCGTCCATATAAGCCCTATCTTAATCAATATGTTCCTGCAAATGAGATACAAACTATGTACGCTTGTTTTTATTAACTTATGTCGCTCCCAAGATATTGCCACTTGAAGAAAACCCGCACAAAAAGTGGATTTATACTAATTTTACTTTAAAAGTGTCATGCTTTTGGGTTAGTTAGACATACATAGAGCGAACTGAATGAATCGGAATGGCTGCGCCACATAAAACTTCTAACGAAAATTCTCCGTTGATTAAATAATTCACTGTTATGTTCTCCATGATTTTATTCGACGATTACAAGTTACCGCATTCCACTTGAAGTTAAACTCCAGACGCTTAAACCGATGTAGAGTGACGTTCAGACAGAGGCCTGAGAGTTGACTTCTTTAGACAATAAGCTACCATTACGTACTGAGGTTGGAAGCTCACCTAACCATCTTTCAACAGCGCACCCTCATGGATAAATCAATGACATTCGGCATGGCACCTGAAGTATCGTACGGAATTCCTTTACCCATATAGCATTTTGAGGTCATAGCTGATTTTCAACCCTAACTATTAACTTGACACCTTATTTTAGTTCCTCAAACTAATTCGTAACTCTATTTTTAAAATGTCAAGTGGTTGAAGTATATAAAGGTCGCTTCACTATTGCTCAAATATTACCATTAATGATAATTTTTCCTATGAAGTGCAAAACCCTAATCTATTACATCACCTAAACAAGTGCACCATAAACAAACCAATCAGCACGATAAAGCAGGTAACTCAAGTCTGGAGATCATTCGTACTCAAAGCTTGCATAAGCTGTATGTAATAAGAGGGACAACAAGTAAATATGATGATACAAAGATTGAGAAGTTTGTAATTTTCGACGAGTTAAGCATAATACAATAACGAAAACCACATACCAACACAATCTACCACTTTCTAGCAGACCATCGAACACTGCGCTTACAATTCACTGTCCAATAGATGCATGATTTGATGAGTTCCACGATTTTTGGTCTTCAGTGACCTACGTTAATCTTTGCGATCCTAAATACGATGCAGATTTGACCCAACTTAAAGACATCAAAATAAAGTGCTGATATAACATTTTTGGATACTTTAAGTGTTGGATTTATTTTTTCCTCGGTCACATTTCTCCAAACTTCGGATTCAATACAAAGTGTAAACTAGGGAAATAGGTATAATTTTTCGCTTGTCCAGACAGACACTCATAACTACGAAATTCTGACTCTCAGGATTTGATCTCAGTCATAGTGAGTTGTGGTTTACTCATATCCAGCATTTCCTCACTAGGCACAAAATTAAGTCTGTAGGACTTAAATACCTAACTTCACGCTCTCTCCCTTCCAAGAGGTTTGCAACCATGTGCTATGTTATGACGTGAGATCATGAGCCATCTGTAGAGGCAAGTAAATCCCCAAAGTAAGTAGTTCTGTAATCCTTCGACATTTACTCTGACCTCATTAGTTTTACTGGACACACCCTAGCTGGAGGTGTTTGGCCAAGCATCCGCACGATCAAGTATGCCGTGCTACACAATCCTCTTAATAACTAGCCAGCTTAGTTGTTATCACTGGGAGGTTGGTGTTAGTTCGATCAGGTGTAGTCAGCCATCAACTTGGCCAAAATGGATTCTCAAGGAGATGGGAAATTAATAAATCCTCCTCAGGTCTCAACGACTGATGAGTGGAATATAAGCAGTCACTTTTTGTGTGTTAAAGGTTAAAGTAATGGTATGCCATATTGATGATTCCTTGCGACCACTAGCCATCTCGGACGAAAAGCTTCTTGACATATCGATAGCTTTCCAAATATGTCTATAAACCCCTTTACTTCTGACTTCTGATTTAACTGGGCTGGTGTGTTTCGATTATGAAAGTGTTATGTGGAAAGACGATTTAAAGCTTCGAATACTTATGTCATCTTTACTCTGCAGCGACGAGTATCAAACTAGAAAATGAAAAAAACAGGAAGAAGGAAATTAAAGCTTAAAATGACATCCACAGTGACAATAATGCTTTCGGATGCGATATTCACCAGCTCAATGGATGGAAAATTCAAGATATTTCGGGCCTATTCGAGATCGAGAGGCACGTTTAGAACACGTATTTTATATAGATATAAGTCTAATGTTTTCCTCCGTAGACTTTACTTTCAATCGCCTTGCATCATGTTTCGGTGCAAAAACAATTCAGTACCATTGACTGATTACATACATAGGGTAGATTCTCATATAACCTTAGTTTTGAATGATCTCTCTATTGTTTCAAGTCACTTTGATGTTATATGGAGTCAAATGGTCAAAGTGGTTGCGGGTCACGAATGAGCAGCACATCACAAACAGTGAATAGCCAGTCTTGTGATCTTGATTCCATCATTTCACTGTCAAATACCTGCGAAAGTCACTGACCATGAAATATTTATTATCTCCATTGGTCGTACTACATATGCAATTGATTACTTTTACAACATTTTCCACGGGCTTTAATTCGGTACAACACTTTTCATGGCACTAGCTAACTGACAGTAGTTCAAATTGAGTGACCATTTAGTGTTAACCAGATAAATCCTTTACACTCGTGTCCTTTACCCTCTACATGTTT